TGTTTGGACATAAGATTTTTTTCACTTTTTTCGAAATTAGTGATTGATCATAAAATTTGAAAATGAATTTTGGAATTTTTCAAAAAATTTAAAAATTATTTTTCAAAATTTTCACTCAGATCACTCACAAAACTTCAAAAACAACCCAAAATTATATTCATGTCCAAACACAACTCTAATTTTCAAATGCTTTTTTCACTTGAAAAAAATTTCACTTTTTTTTTTTTTTGGAATTTTACAATTCTTATGTCCAAACGCCCATGAAGTCAATTGCTTTTTCTCCATAATGGTTGCCGATCAAGTTGCTAACAGCTCATTTGGATGGTTGTTACTCATTGTATCGTATTGTATCGCTATCCCAAAATAATGTTTGTTTTGATTGTTTCATTAAAATTGGTTATATTATATTGTTAACTCCATTGTTCCGAATAATAAAAAGTCCCATTTTTTGAAACAATCGATTTGGTGTGGTGGGATTGTTTCCTATTTTTCTTTCCACTTATGCCCTAACTTATTACTCCATAATTCTATTTTACCCTTTACCTTATTTATTTATTTTACCTCCAAAATCTCCCACTTATAACCTGCTTTGTCTTCGTCCCTTTTTTCAGAACTTCTGCCGCTTCCAACTCCAGAATTTAATTGCTTAATCTATTTATAAGTCATATTTGATGATAAATTAGTAGATAGGGGTTTTCTTAAATTATTTTTATACGTAATTTTTGATTCATTATAAAACGATGGGTAACAACCATCCAAACAAGCTGTAAGTTAAACGGATGCTACGTTTGTAGGAAGTGCTGGGACAAAACAAAAAGTAAGTCGCTTTACATAAATTGTAAGATCTCCTTGAAATTACATTGTTATAATTGGAAAATTCAATTATGAGGACCTTGTGTAATTGAGTAAATCTATAATTTTATGCTATGATGTTTATACGGGTTTTCTTTCTTATAGGAAAAGAAGATGATATTTAAAAAGGTTATTAGCATATTGATTTCTTCATGAATTCACAATGATTTTTTACGAATGCGTAGAGCGCAAATAAGTCTACTAGTCAATAAGTAAACCAAATACCGCCTGAGAAAATCTGATTTGTAATATCATCTGTGGAATATTTGCTTTTTTTTCTATTTCTAACTTAAATTCTGAACATGTTTATTCATTTCATAATCGTTATATGACTTTCTACAGTTCTCCTACTGAATATAGAAAATTATTAAAAAGAAATAATGTTTAATAAAAGAAGGAAAAATTATTGCAGAAATTATATATTGAATGTAATCAAGACAAATTTCAAAAACCAAATCTATACTATGTGTCGCTTTTTGTCTTTTTATTACTACAATTACTTTAATTATTTGTTTTTCTTTCATGATACTTCTCTTATTATAAATAGTTGTATGCTTTGTTATACTTTCAAACAAACATAATGAATTAAAGGGAAAAACAAGAGAGAGAGAGAGAGTTTTTGGCTACCGTAAGAAAAGATGAGTGAATGAATCTTTAATTCACTATTTTAGTTTGAAGGTATAACAAAGTATACAACTATTTATAACAAGAGAAGTATTTTGAAGGAAAAGCAACTAATTAAGTTTATAGTAATAAAGGATAAAATATAATATGGATTTGATTTTTGAAATTTATCTTGGTTATATTCAATATATAATTTCTGCAACAACTTTTTCTTCTTTTATTATACTAGTTATGCAATTACCATATTATTTCTTTTTAATAATTCCCTTATTCACTAGGATAACCGGAGAAAGTCATACACCACCTATGAAAATAAATTAAAGTTAGAAATAGAAAAGAAACAATTATTTCTTAGATAATGTTACAAATCAGATTTTCTCATTTGGTATCTAATTTACTTATTACTAGTAAATTTATTCGTGCTTTGTGCATTCGTAAAAAATATTTGTGAATTCACGAAGAGATCAATAGGCTAATAAAGAATTTAAGTAGGCGTTTGGACATAAGAATTGTAAAATTCAGGAAAAAATATATTTTTTTAAAGTGAAAATAATATTTGAAAGTTAGAGTTGTGTTTAGATATGAATATAATTTTGGATTATTTTTGAATTTTTGTGAGTGATTTGAAGAGAGAAGTATGGGACCTAAATATCGTTTTTTTTTCTTCTATAAGAAAGAAATGCGTGTAGACATCATACATTTGCTTCAATATCGATTTATTTAAAGCTACGTTGTCATATACAAACGTTTTTGTTTTAAGAAAACAAAAATATTCAATGTAAAATACTTATAAAATTAACTTTTTGCATACAAATGAAGAATCTTATCTTTTATCTCTCGATAAAATTTACAAAGAAGAAAACTCACTATAAAACATAACAGAAATATTATGAGAGAGAAAAGAAAAAGTCCAAAAGTGCGAAATACAATATTCTTCAGAAATTGTTATTGTAGAAATAAAACTAAAATCAAGTTTAAATGTCATCTTAGTGAAAAACGAAAAGTCTCCAGACTCATCGCAATTCTAAAGATTAATCAACTCCCTCATTATATTTTTCACTAAATCCCATTTTATTCAAATAAGAGAAGAATATATAATAGTATTAATTTTTAACAAAAAAACTCATTTAATTTTACCTGGAATGTATTTAAAGACCCCCTTCTGGCAAACTAACAAAGAATAAAAAATGAAACAAAGGACAAAAAATAGAGGAGGAAAATATCACCTTGTTGAATCTTGTAAATTTGATGAGATCATTTTCGATATATAAAAAGAATATGAGAGTAATTCAGTGTTAAAGAATTTGGCATTCCCTTTTTATAGACACCCGAATAAGATATTAATTGTAATCATGCCTTTCTGATACTCTCAACAAATAGTAATTAGGCAACATAAATGTAGTAAGCATTAATATAGGCATTACTATAATAATGTAATTAAGAGAATTTATTTGGTGATATTTGGGTTTTGTAACATGTAACACATAGATGGAAAAAATAAGGGAAAAGCCAAAAAATGAGTAAAAGAGAAGGAAAAAAAGAATGAGACAATGACAACAAAAGAGAAACAGATAAATGTTCCAATAATATAACACACACATATATATTCTGTATTATATTCGTATATAAAGAGTTTATCCAATATTTTCTTCTATATACATTATACCAAATTTATATGAATAATATATAAGGATTACCAAACCATTGGAAAAAAACAGTTTATACATTTCAATAACAAACCCAATAAAATCTCATAAGTGGAGTATAAAGAAGATAGTGTGTATGAAAGCCTTATCCCAACCTTATGGCGATAGAGATGCTGCTTTCGATAATATAATATAATAAGTGACGGATGTACATATCAAATTTGGGGGCGTAAGCGCCCATTGACCTTGGCAAAGAGTATGTGTATTACATTAAAAATTTAACGAAATTAATATAATAAGTTATCTAGAACTTCCACCATAATGTGTTGATGTCTAAACACCCATGTAACAAAAGGTTTGATGTCTGCTTTGGTCAAGAAAAGGTTCTGGAAAGCTATGAAATTTGGGCTGTGGGAGTTCGATTCTCACTTCTAACAGCTACTTTTTAGGAGGCATTTTCCTTACATTATCAATCTTTTTTCTTTTGCCCCATTCAGTTATATCTACATTTTTGTTCTTTCACTATCCACTATCTTGATCCAATACTACTTATTTTTTTATTCTTTGTCGTTGACTTATGTTTTAACTTTTTATTTTTTATTTTTTTTTAACTTTCATTTATTTCACTATGACAAAGAAAGAAAACGAAAATCTACTTAGAAACGACTTCAAAGTTCGTTGGAAGACGAAGTGGTCCTCTAGAATGGTATAACCCACTAACTTTTTCACGTTAGTTGTCTTATCCATTGCAATTTCGCAGCGTCCATAATATTAAAATTATGAGTTTTTTCATTAATAATTTTATCGTCGTATCCAAATACTTGTGTACTTATACAATGTGATTGGTAGTACTTACGTCAAAAATGTTAAGTACTCACGAACTCGAAATCCCAGATCCGCAACTGAATATAATTTTGTATCAATGTACACCAACCTCAACTAATTCGTTGAATACATGTTATATTTTACCAACACAATTATCAAATAATTCTGTCTATCAAGATTTGGATAAATAAGAATAGAGAATTATTTAGCTTAGACATATTTAGCATGAGTGGAAGAAAATGGGCTATCACTAGGGGTAACAAAATGGTTAAAAGAAAACAGTTAACAACCCATATTATCCACTAAAAAATAGGTTGGATAATGAACTTTTTAAAAACGGGTCAAATATGGATAAGAACCATATTATCCATTTAGAAAATGGATAACCAATGAATAACTAATTGGTCTAACTTTTACATTTGTAAAGCCTCAACTTGGGGTTCTTCAAGTTAGGGAGGCTAAGAATTCTCCCAACCCATATTATCCGTCGGTTAACCCTTTTTTTATCCGTATTAAACATGAGTCGGGTCAGATAATTTATCTATTTTTTATTACCCATTTTCGATCCAAACCATATCCGATCCAACCCTCCCGTTTGCCACTCCTAGCTACCACCATCATAAAGCTGCATCTAATATAAAGTTCAAGGGAAAAGATATGAAAACAAAATAAAAATTAGTTATGAAAAAGCATGTGGTGTGTATTTAAGTGATTTCACATTGGTCTAGTTCTTTCACAACCCAATTTTAACATCATACTTTCCTTTCTTATTCGAGTTTTTACATTTTTCTACGAGTAACTGTATCAAAATTCAATTAAAAAATGAATGTTTTGCCTCAATATGAAGTTTTTATAATTTAAGTTCCTCTAAAACGAAAAAAAGAAGACCATGAGATTAACCTTGTCATTAATTTCGGGAGTGCAAAGGAAATTTTCAATTTACTCAATAAACTAATCACAAGAGTCAATATTTGGTAATTTATTGCTTGAAATAAATGTTGGAAATATCACGGAAATTCTTCAAAGCTTAAAATTCGACAAGCTCTTCTAATATAAATCAAGAAAAACAACAAAGATTTCAGAGTAAAAAAACAGGCAAAGATCAGAATAGAGAAGAAGAAAGTTTATGTAGTGGTCTCTCTCAAAGGAACCAATATTTAGGAGTGGAGAAAATATGAACGCTATGGGGCTGACTAATTCTCATAAAAGACCAAAGGTTATAATTCTAGAATTACAACATAATTAATCTCATAGGGAATATATCTGGACATATCCTTGTAAACATATGTACTTAGACACTTTTCCGGTATGCTCAAATGTCAAAAATAATTTTTGGGCAACTAGATTTGAACTAGGCCCCAGATGTATCTTGTATGCATGAGGGGCAAATCGACTAGTTTTGCCTTCAAGAGCATTTCTCACGTGCGCGAGCCCACTCCCTTTTACTAGCTTTCTACAAGAGCAACCAAGGACAAACTCATTATTATAAAATGAAAAAGACAGCTCTTCCTAATCCACGAGGGACAACTTCCTTTTGAGAAACTACACAACTTTTCTAACAATAAATACAGTTGAAATTCTTCACCTTTTGGATTCACATTTCATCTGATGTGTTATATCTTCGCTTGTAGATGCGATGACTTTCTTCCTGTTAGTTCACCTTTGAAAATTTCCTGCACAATATAATCCAAACTGGATTTTGGATGCTTTTACGGTATATATTATTGCAAATATATCTGGCTAGTAAATATAAGACTAATTTAACATATGAAAGAGGTTCGAATAAAGCATAATAGATATAGACGATTCACATAGCGAACCCAACTAGTTTAGGAGAAATGTCTCAGTCAGTACTGTGAGATTTCTTAGATTTGCAAATAAAGATTCTCAAGTTGGTAGATTTACTTTCTTTAACTGGCCAAGTTCATTCTATCCTAGCAGTATGCATATTTGCTAATAGCTCCTTAGTCTAAGGCTACACGTAATAATAGAAGTTAAATTTTATCAATGGAATTTTTAAGTTGCAAGTTGACAATGCAACAAAAGTAACATACTCGAGTTCGTAAGAATCAAGCTTTGGATTTGTAAACAAGAATAAAAAAAGATGTTTAAATACTAAAGCATGAGGATTGAGATAATGCAACAACAACAACAACCAACCCAGTGTAATCCTACATAGTGGAGTCTAGGGAGGGTAGAGTGTACGCAGACCTTACCCCTACCTCATGAAGGTAGAGAGACTATTTCCGATTGACCCCCGGCTCAGGATTGAGATGATACATATGGAAAATTTCTATAATGGGACTTGAAAATGAGTATTTAGTTTCTTGTGAAAATGTTAATGTTTTTTGCTTTGAAGCTAGTGTAGATCATACCTAATCTTAGAGAAAATTATGGAAGAAGGATTCAAATGCTAGCTCGTTTTCATACACTTAAAATCGAACTTCAGAGAGTTTTAAAGTAAATGCACGCACCAATAGAGAACAATGAGCTGCCGGAGATTGACTGGAAAGGCAGGCCCTCCATGTAACCACCTATCTGCCCGTGTTTGTGGCACGATCGAAGGTCAAGACGGTGGTCTGGCGGAAAACAAAAATCGTCAAAGCTTTGGTTGGTGCAGTTCTCTTTGGAACCCACCCTTCTTCATAATGAGGAGGAGTCAACATCCCCTTCTCGATCATCAGATGCCTTAAATTTTTCCTTTTCTCCTCCTCTCATCGATGGCGTATCTGAGCTCACCTTGTTCTCCTTCCTGCTATCATCTCCATTATTGAAGCCTTATACCTAACATGTAAAGAAAAATTAACGGACACGGTGAGTTAACAGAAAATTAATTAAGCTATTCTGGGAAACTACGGAGTAACGAATAAGAGATGAGATAACTTGCGAATCCATAACTGAAGCATCCGGATCATTTCAAACTCTAGTGGTACCCCCAAAGTACATGAAAAACTCATGGTCATGGCAAGTTTATGAGAAAGGCAAAGGCTTAAACTTCATCACACGAAATATCAGCAGTTTGTAGGAACAAACATATCCCAAAAAGTAGGGTACGAAACAAAATTTTCAATATAGATGGTTTGAGTAATACAAAAAGTTTATTACAGAAATGCATAATCCCCCCCACCCCCACCCCTAAATGATCCAACTATGACATCAATTTCCTCTTCCATAGAAGAAAAAGAAAAGAGAATGACAATACAAACAGATGCATGAATTCGTTTCACTGTTTGGATTAGACTCCCTTCTCCTTCATAGCCGTACTATTTCAAAAGATACACAATGGTGTTAACCAGATTGAACAATACTATAAAGAGAACGGGATATTTATTTTCAGATATCATGGTATGTGTTAATGAGTTTCACTGTCTTATTTCTGAATACACATTGCAGAGAACCAGTAAGAGCTTTCTGTAAAGGACCATAAATATAAAGAAGTTGCGATAAGCACTACAAAAATCAGGGCAAAAGACAATAACTACAAAACCAAGAGCTAGCTACATAATAAGTAAACTCAGGCATCTTGTCATCGCTTCTAAGAGGTCCTCAAACTTTCCTGTTATGCACTTAGAAAACGGAGAAAAGATTATCATTGCCGTCCACCGTGCATGAAAGGAAAGGTGAGAGCAACATGCATGTGATCGTAATAGATGAACACCAAATTAGTTAAGCTCTAGAATAAGAAATATTGAACTTCAAGAAACCACCTAGTCATAGCTCAAACTGAGATACAAATCCTGAAGGAGCTCATTCAATCTGACTTTCCAAGAGATTTTAAGGACCATAAACCTTGCTCAGTGGTAAATTGTTCACGGTTGAGGATTTATGAATCCTTAAGACTGTAATCAGTTAAGCAAACATATCTACTCACTCAGCACCATCCTCACCACCCCTCCAACCCGAAAGAAAGACCTGATGCTTATGAAGAGAGAAGAGTGTCATTTCCAAGCCACTCTTGAACTATCTCGGAAGAAAGAAAAATTACATTAATTAAAAACAGATACGTACGAATCAGGAAATTCTCTCACCAAGCTAAAACTAAAAAAATGTTTGGCAAAAGGAAAATTGTTAAATGAGTAGCACCAAGGAGGTACTTAACTTTACAAACAGTACCAGTCTTCTACTTCTGCCTGTAAGTAGTCCAAAAGAACCAGGATATCAACAAAATCAGCTGCTACACCTTTTACACCAACTATACAAGAATACCGTGCTCAATTTTTGTACTAAGCAACTCACATTCCCAATCTCCTAATCATTGAAATTTCTTCCGGAAAGAAGATTCCATCCACCTTCAGAAAAGCAGCGTGTAACAAGTTTTGTAAATGACGAGTTAATATAAATCTGGAAAAACATCCCCCAAGGCAGTATTTATCCAGCCAAAGTCTGATATTTCTTCTATTTCCCAGCAACTTTGACTTTACTTCCATATAGCTACTCCATAAGGAGCCTTCACCGGCTTTGTGTACTAGGGAGATTCCATCTCATATATTTTACAATCATAACTTTCTTCCAGTCTTTTCCATCATTAAACCTCAGGTGCCATTTCTATAATAAAATTTTGTTGTGTATTTTCAATTTTCTAGCTCCCCCCTACCACCTTCTGTTTTGTCTTTCATGGCTGCCGACCATTTCACTAAATGATGCTTTCTGTTGTCACTCCCACCTTCCCACAAGGAGTCTGATCTGAATCTATTTACAGGAATTACAAATACTAGAAGAAAATCTTTCAGCAGAATGATACATTCTTTCCAACTCGTGTAACATGCCACCATATTTTTAAAGGCAAATAACCGTATTGAGTGACCTAATCCCCTTGTTCCGAAAGACTATCCAATGCACTCCTTGACAAGCACATATACATCAGAATTATTTGAAAAGTGTGACCACAGTTGAAACTCTAGAATCACACACAATTCAAAGGCTAATCATTTAAGAAAACAGTTTTCTAAAGAAATCCAGTTTGTACTTAGCTGCATCTTATCTTATCTTTTTAAAAGAAACTGTATATATATATTTTTTTCCTTCCCTTAAGTTTCAATTCTTCATTCAAGTAAATATTTGCTAGAGAAGCATTATTATTTTCACGTGGACAAATTTCCCTTTCACCATCCTTTCCTTGTTTCCGATGATGATCTATGTATTGTAAAGTTCTTCTAGCAAAATCTTTCAATAATTAATCATCTTTCATATTTTTTAATTGTGATACATCTGCAATCAGAAACTAAAGCAAGTGCACTAACTTTCTAACAAGAAGTAATTCATGATTGAATTGAATTGTTGAACTGACTGTTAAAGCACCACCCTGACATTTTGTCTTCAAATTGTGAAAAAGATAGAATACTTTTGCTAGAAAAGTTGTTTATTGAGATTTGACAAAGTGAAATTTCAAAAGGAAAAAAGAATTAAATGCATCCAAGAAAATGCCAAAGGTAAGTAACTGAAAATCCATATAATCATGGTAATCTCAGATAGAGTCAGATTACACTTGTTCTTTCTCATAGAGAATCAGNCCCCTTTCTCTCTCTCTCTCTCCCCCCCTCTCCCCCCTGCATGATATTCAGTTTTATACATTTCCCTTTCAGATTTGCTACTAACTATTGATCTTTCCTCTGTTGCTCAAGCGGCAGATTAAACTCAGGTTTTACCCTTTTAGAGGTCTGAGCTCTTCTCAATCGGTCAATCTTTTTTTTTTTTTTAAAATGATGGTAGCGTCCGGGCCAGCTTGTGCGCGCCTCGACTATTCCACCGGATACCTGCTATCTCTCACCAGCACAGGTACCGGGTAATTCTGCCCATCAAGATTTAGGCAGATGGGAAGAAGGCACCTACTGTTTTTTGCGTCACTTGGGATTTAAACCTTGGTCTTCAAGGTTTGCACCCACTTCATTAACCAGTTGGTCACACCCTTGGGTGTGAATCAGTCATTCATTTAGCACATTCCTTCTTGCTAGCAGTATTGTTTATATCCTTGTTCAATGAAGCCTGTTGAGTAGACTTTAAAAGCTCTTTGGTTCCAAGAGATAAATTTCAGTGATGACATAGATTTACTTTAATCCCTAACTGTTTTCTAATTTCTCGTCAACTATGCTAAATTAATTACCCTAATTAGCATTGCAAAAAGTATGAAACAAGAGAGCACTAACCCCTATGTAATTAATGGGTAAATGTCAAAGATGCCCGCAAAAAATGTGAGAATATACAATTACATGGCAAGTGATAGGTATAAATGCCATTGATAGATTTGCCACAGAAGATAACATTAACATTCAGAAAACCTACTCAAAATGTCATTCTCTTAAAGAATGTTAAAAATGCTTTTAAAGTAATTACATTAAATTGATAGAATATAACTCATATTTACTACCTTCATTCCTACCGAATAGGCACAACAGTTGCATAGAGACTATTTTACTTCATTGGAAAAGATACATGATTCATATTCATTACTCACACTAAGGGGTCGTTTGGTAGGGTACATAAGAATAATGCTGAATAGAGTGTATTAGTAATGATGGTATTAGTTATGCTTGCATTAGTTATGCTGGTATTAGTTATGCTGACATATTTCTTATCCATTGTTTGGTTTGATGTATTAAAGCATTGCACAGTTTCTAAAAGAATTGTTTGTTTACAAAAATGCCCTCAAAACTAGTCCACACTCTAACTTTTTAAAAGAAATATATGTTGAGAAATGTTTTTATATGAAAAAGTTTAAAAAAAATATTTTATTTGTCTACCTATATTGTAAAATAAAATTAAATATTTATTTACAAAAAAGGAAATATGTTAAGTATTTATTTATTTACTAGGGATATAATTTTATTTCTCACTACTTGGATTATTTTGAACTTGCATTAA